GAGAGAGAGAGAGTGGGTGTAACGTATGCGAGAGTGTGAGTGAGTACGTGTGCCAGTGAATGTATGTCTGTAGAGGTTGAATTATTAATCAAAATTCAATTTCGGCTCTTCATTGCCTCAGCAATCAGGTACATAATATAACCAATTTATAATTTTGTATATAGTTAAAATAGGCGAACTACAGTTACAAAATATCTCTATATTTTATTGTACGCAGTTTCAAGTTGTCAAATCTTTTGCTTAATCTTTCGTTCGTACGATGGAATCAATTTATGAAGTTAATAACGGATTATACGAAACGCGTAGAGAATGAGTGTTGAATTTCATTACTTACAACAACTCGTTTAATCTATGGAATGAATATGAATTGGAAAAGGTTCGAAAAGTTGAGGTAATTGCTGGATATGAGTGGACACCAGAGCTACGAAATGGTGGAAGTTCGACGCAGAGGTGCGCGTGGGAGTGTCACCTTGTCATCCCCCCCCCCTCCAAGCTGCCGATCGATCACGATGGATGTTTCTAATCGATTCGACACCTTTTCAATTCGGGCCTGTAGATGACACTCGAGCGGTCACCTTGTCGTTTCACCTTGAAGGACGTAATGGCTAACACTTCCTTTGATGTCGCTTACACCAATTAGATAAACAAGCGAGGGATACAGTGTGGTGTATTGATAGCGATATGCGTTATCATCCGAAAGCGGGAAACCCCAGCCAATGATACACGGTGAAAGTAACCAACGCTTGAAATTGGAATTACATTATTTTTTTTCTGATACTGATCATTACAATGCTATTAGTACAAAACGAAGACATTTCGTAAAGACTTACGGAGAGGGAAGATTCAAGTATTTTCAGAGGGACAATTCGTTTTTGGGTGCACAAAATATATTTTGAAGCTTTAATTTTAATTTGCGATGTACTACATGTTGTTTATAATATGTAATGTTGCTCATGTCAGTCTCCATATCATAAAATTGGTTACCCCATATCATAAAAAGGGGGAAAGAATCACAAATGAAAGTAAGCAAATTATCATGGCTTCTTAATCGAAGATCTAATCACGCCTTATGCAACAAAATATTACAGTACAAAGCAATAATCAAGCCAACATGAACTTACGGCATAGAACTATGGGGTACAGCCAACAAGTCAAACCTGGAGATCCTGAGAAGGTTCGAATCAAAAACATTGAGATATTTATGCAACGCGCCGTGGTTCGTAACCAACAATAATTTGTTCCAAGATTTGAACAGGGGTGGGACGCAAAAAGTCACCATCTGCCCGCTAACTCCCGCAGGGTACCGTCGAAAGCACATACGACTACTCGCCGAAGTCTCCTTGACCCAAAATTCACTTTTATTTTCTTGTGTCAACTACGGAAGGACTTTATTACTAGGTTGAGAGTTTTCAATATCTTACCGACGGTCACACCCGCTAACCAATTTATTTTATGATCTGGGGATGTTCATTCATTATTTTGCTTGACACACTTTTCAGAGAAGCTCAATATAAGGAGAGGTTTTAGATGTATTTCATAGCAATAAAAAGTGATTCGTTGGATGACTCAGATCCACAACATTCAAGACGTTTTATTAGGTTATATGTAGTACAGATTCAGTTATAATGAAAATTTATGTAATCATTTTTCCTGCTCAACGAAACTAGAAATAGGTACTTGCTACTTTTTTGAATACTGAATAGCTTTTACTTTTAGG